ATTGCAGGGGGTTGGACTAGATGACCCTTGTGGTCCCTTCCAACTCTGTGATCCTACGATTCCTGCCGCTTGGCAACTAGGCTGTTGCTGCATGCAGCTTCACAGGGCAGGCCCGACCTTCACAACGCCGGTGGAGGTTTAGCCATCAGCTCTGGAAGAGTCAGGAGTCCAGCTTCAAGTGGCAACATGAATCTTTCTGCGGTGACCTTAAAGGCCAGGGTGGCTCCAGATGGCATTGTGGGAGGCTGACCTGCAGCTGTTGTGATTTAGGATTGCTCCTCCACAGATAAATCACCAGAACTCTCGAGATTTACCGGGCTGTCTCTTGGCATATATAAAAAGGTCAGCGCTTTCTTCTCTCGCTAGGGAAACTGCACATCATTCGGGGAATTAACACATGTTGTTAAAGTGAGCCACCTCTTTTAACAACGTATGATCTATAAGCACAGGACAAAGCTGTTAACTTGTAGGGTATAATTGGTATTACAATAAGCCATATTATAGAATTGTAGATCTGGAATATGCAGCTGTCCCATACGGGGATTGAACCTGCAACCTTGCTGTTGTCACACCACCACGCTCCAACCTACGGAGCTATTATGAAAGTTTGCAGGTTTAGAGAGCCCAAGGGGGTAGAGTTATGTGGGGAGTGCATTTCACAAGTTGAAAAGAAACACCCAACAGAGGTCACACATTTAAAGCACATGGCTTCCCCTAAAGTTACAGGGAACCAGGCAGCGGGCCTTCTCAGTAGTGGCACCCGCCCTGTGGAACGCCCTCCCACCAAATGTCAAAGAGAAAAATAACTACCAAACTTTTAGAAGACATCTGAAGGCAGCCCTGTTTAGGGAAGCTTTTAATGTTTAATAGGTTATTGTATTTTAGTGTCTTGTTGGAAGCCGCCCAGAGTGGCTGGGGAAAGCCAGCCAGATGCGCGGGGTATAGATAAATTATTATTATTATTATTATGATGATGATGATGATGATGATGATGATGAATCTGGGAACTGTAGTTTACACCCCCCCCCAACTCCCAGCACCCTTGACAAACTAGTGATGGGAACATACCCTTTGCTTTAGTGCAACGTCAACCCAAAGTAAATCTGAGTGAATGCTCATTAGATAGCCGTCATCATCTAATCTCCCGCCAAACAAATCGAGATGAATGTTCCACAAACAGGTTGCCTGGAATCTCCCTAAAACAATATAGCAAGAGGTGCCTACCTAGCAGGTAGGTAGTTATAAAGCATAGGTGCTGCCACACCTGGGACTTTCTGCAAGTAAAGTGTTGCACCACTGATGTACGTTCTCTCCCCTGACATCTAACGATACGGTGCACGGATCATGGCCCAGCAGCCAAACTGTACTGCAGGTGCGATAACAGCTGAATTGGGGGGGGGGCACACACCCAAGGTTAACTCAAAATGGAAAGTTTGGGGATTAATTCCTCCAGATGAAATGCCTCTTTTAATTTGAAGCTACTGGATATCTTAGAAAACCCACAGAGCTCATAAGGAAAGTAAAATGCAGATTTTCAAATTCTGCGGGCTGTTGCTGCTGACATACTATCACTGTGGGAAATTAGGATCAGAAAGCAAAACCACTAGTACCGCAGGTGCGCTGGGACTGGAAGAGTACAACTAAGCATAAAAATGTCAGTGTCCATATGGCTGAGCATACATCAGTTCATTGTCCAAAGAAAACAACATCCCCCAGTTTGCCGTGCATCTATGGATATGCCTTAATTATTTTATTTCTTGGATGACATCAGTTTTATGTTCCCTCTGGAATCACAAGGTCAAAGGCTAGCGTCTCTTCAGCATTAACGCACACATAATATTTTGTCTGAAGAACTGATAGAAGGAAATTAAATACACGGGGTGGCCAAAGTCCCTGGACTTCAGAACTACAAGCCAAAATCATAACGTGGCTCAGAGCTACAATATACCACATCTTGTTGCTACTTCATCTCCCTCCCCAAAACCTTGGCCGTTAGATCAACCCTTTGCTCTCCAAAGCCCCAACCACATCACCTGTGCCTCTCACTCTCTTAAAAAAACCACAACACTCCTCAACCTCACCCACCAGGGCTTATCCCAATATCTACAGCAGCTCCATTGATTGCCAAACGTTCCCTTTCTTCCATGATTTTCCACTTTCCCCTTCCCAGCTTACCCCCTTCAGTTAACCCACTCCCTCTCCCCAAATCTTGTGTCCCGTTATTCTCTTTGTGCCCTGCAAGATTCTGATGCCATAACTCTTAAGAACATCGTAAGAGCCTGCTGGATCGGGCCCATGGCCTGTTTACTCCAGCATCCTATTCTTTCAGCAGCCAAACTGTGAAAACTTGCAAGCATTGCAAGAGTGCAACACTACTCTGCCCACTTGTGATTTCCCAGCAGTTGGGGTTCAATAGTCATGCTGCTTCTCACAGTGGAGGTAGAACTTTGCTATTGTGGCTCATCTTCATATCCCAGGATCTTCCTTGTAGCTGGGGGGTGCTGGGGCAGGGGAAGATGAGGAATATGTACATCTTCGCTGTCAAGATTGCAGCCAATGCAGATTAACTTAATGTTTCGCTTTAGCTGGGTTATGTGCAGGGCCTTTTGCCCTGAGCACTCTGGTTTTCTTCTCATAGATCTCACCTCTTGTCTTTCCAAACCACTGACAGACCCTGCCCATTCCTTTGCTTCCTCTACACCTTTCCTGTCCTTCGCCCTCCTTTCGTTTTTATTCTGTTTAGAGACCACCCATTGGGCTGGCCCATCAGTGAGGCAAGGTGAAGCCATTTGCCTCAGGCGGCAGATCTGGCTCCCGCCACTGCGATGCCGCCGGCCTCACCAGGGCTTTGCCCGCATTGCCGCCATTGTTGTTGCCCGCACTGCTTACCTTTTTTAGTTTTAGACAGTGTTTTTACCTTACTTTCCAACAGCTCTTTTACAAACCTTGAAATTTCATTACTAAATCTGTTTCTTTTGTCTTTTTTAAATGAATCATTTATTGGTGATATTGTAGCAAGTCTGTTAATAATTCTCTTATATCTTCAAAGTTCTTTAATTTCAATTGACTCCATTAACAGCTCTTTATATGTTGCCCATTTAGTTTTCACATTCAACTTTTTCAATGATACCACTTCAAGTGGGGAAAGCCACCATGGTGTTTTCTGTTCTAGTAGGTTTTTATATTTCTCCCATACACCATAGATCAATTTTCTTACCAAATGGTTTTAAAAAATCCTTTATGTACTTTTACCTTTTCATACCTGTCAGAGCTGCCTCCAGGTCCCAGCTCACAGAGGACCAACGCTAGCCGGTAGTAATGTACAAAAGTCTTTATTGAAGTACAGTTTCCATTTTCAAGCCGCAGCGCGCAGCTCTACGTCTTAGAAGCTAGACCGGCGAAGCTCCGTCTGAGTCTCCACCCCCTGTGCACCAGTTTAAGACTCTAACCTTACTCCACCTCTTCCGTCTCTCCTTTCTCCTCTGGGTCCTTCTGCCCCCCGGGGTCTCCTCCTTTCTGGACTCTTCTGACGCTGACCCCCCTGACTCCTGTCCCTCCTTTCGGCGGGCTTTAGGACCTGGCTCCCTATCCGGGCTACCAACTGCGCCGCCCTCCTGTACATTTGAACTTGGCGCGCGCGCCCAGCCTCCAACCTTCCTCTTGACCGTTTCCTCGCTCTCCGATGGAGGCGTGGCCAATCCTGACTCATCTCCTCCCGCTGGCGGTGAGCCGCCTGATCCCGATACCTGGGACTCCTCCCCCCTACTGCGCTCTGGTGGGGAAGCTGGTCCTGATTTCCAACTGCTGCTCTCTGAGTCCCCTCTGGCCCCTTCTTCCTGGGGTGTCCCCCTAGGCACCCCCTTGCTCTGACCATGGGAGCCCCTTTCTGTGAATCTTCCGATTCGCTGGAAAGAATCAGAGACCTCGGGCCGCTGTCATCGCTAACATTTCCTTCGGATTCCTCCCCCTCGCTCTCTATTTCCTCCCTTTCCTGTGCCTCTGCTCCTGAGCCCCTGACAATACCATAAATATGCATGCCAACCAAATCTGTTATCATGACCCTCCAAATCTAGAACATCAGTGTTTTCTAATGTTATCCATTCCCGAAGCCAACAGAGACAGGACGCCTCATAGTATAACCTCAAATCTGGCATACTGCTTACCTTTTTTTTAAAATTATTGGTCCAGATGCAGATGCATGAAAGGCTTTATAAGATTGGATTGTCTTCCATCTATGAAAGCTAGTTCTCAATGAGATGGTAAACTAATACATGGGTTATACCATTTCAGCAAGGATGGAGAACCTTCAGGCCTCTCTATGCAATGCTCTGGACTCCCCTAAGCCACTCCCTCACCCCCAGGCCACACCCCTCACTGGGCTTGGTTCACAGCCTCTTCAAGTGTTTTTGCATGGTTGGAACATGTCCTTGAACTATGACAGTGCTCCTTTCTTGTGTGGCTGGAATGTAGAGACAAGGTCTGCATCTGTTGCTCTGCCCATGTTTGGCTCTGGTCCTGTCCATCAGTGCCTGCTCCTCGAAGGCTGCCCACAAGGAAATATGGTCCTTGGGCTGAAAAAGTGTTTGCCTCCCTTCCACTGTGCATTAAGCATCACACAACATAAAAAAACGCCTTTCACATAGAAAATTAGATGTTGGGCAGTAGTCTGCTCCCCTAGTTTTCTATGTGCATGGATTTTCCCCCTGTAGAGAAACATTCAGCAATGAGACTCTTACCTGTAGTTTGAAGTTGTATTTGTTAGTGGAAACAAGGATTTTGAATATATAAACATTTTGACTGTTTTCATACTATTCAAGCACATAAGCTGTATTGGAAAGTTTTTAATTTTTGATGTTTTAATATGTTCTGATATATGCTGTGAGCCACCCAGAGTGGCTGGGGAAAGCCAGTTGGATGGGAGGGGTATAAATAATAAAATTATTATTATTATTATTATTATTATTATTATTATTATACAAATAATAATTCTGTCTTCTCTCTCTCTTTGCAGTATCATATTTATCATCACTTAAAGATGATTTCTTAAATTAAAACTTGTCTTCTACATAAGGATGTTAGCCGTGTATTGAAGGAGGATCATCTGGAGGTAAACAAAATAATAATAATGATAATGATAATAATAATTATAATAATAATAATAATAAATAAATAAATAAATGTATTTTGTTTTGTTGAGTGTTGAAGCCACACTCTTTCCTTATGTGTTAACTGTGTTGACAAAAAATGCCTACGATTTGCACAATATTGTTTTGTGGGTACCCTAAGCCTCCCACTTTCCTTTCTCCTGGCTTTTTATGGGCCAACATATTGAGTAATACTGATAGGGTTGTTACCTATCTTGGCAGACTTCTAAGATTTATGTCCTTTTCTTGAACTTTGGCAAAGCTTGAGTAACTTACCCTGCCAGTAATGTAGCACTTAGCTGAACTCAGCTGAGCAAATCTACTTATATGGGTTTTTTAAAAAGTGTATTCCAAGATGTTGCCTTGTTATTCTTATTGTCACTTTCACAAGTAACAGGGATGGTGAATCAATTTTCCCACGTAGGAAAACTATCACAAGCTAGCAGTATAAAAATAACCCACCCTTTAAGGATCTAGGTTTAGAACTGCCTAGAAGTTACTTTTGCCAACTTGAAACTGGCAAAGAAGATAACAACAAGAATATTAAATCAACAAGGCTAAACAGATTACTTCACGTAGAGTGACAGCTGGCCATGAGTGATAACACATGATAATAGCTTGTAAAAAGTCGAGATATGAACTGAGCAAATATGATTCCAGAGCTACTATCTGAGTCAAGTATTTATGACAGCCTGAGTGAGTAGTACCTGTTCTGGCATAGCTTTGAGGGCTCTGTCCTCTTCTTGAACCTTGGCAGCGCCCGTATAACTTGTCTTGCAAGTTAATGTAGTGCTCAGATGAATAGAACTGAACCCACTGGATTCCAAAGCCACCATCTGACGAAAGAGTTTAATTATAACAGATCAGTTGTTAATAAATAAAAATAAACTAGAGGCCTCTTCTGTGTGTTTAACCTCACAGACTGCTGTTTGCAATACATGGCCTTTTGATTATGCAGAATCACAACGAACAATTAAAAACCTTTTGTTAGCACAGATCATTCTGTTAATGCATTTGTTGTTGTCTTTAACACACACACACACACACACATGGTGAGGTTGCAACATCGATTCTGTTTGCTAGATTCTTTTAAAAGTGGGATGGAATTATTTGATATCTTTGGACATGAGCCTTTTTCTCAGTATTTGCAGTCTTTCACAAACAATGCAATAATGAGTGGAGCTTTTTTCTGTTTGCTCCAATTCTGGCTTGGTGCAGGCATAACACTTAGGATCTTCCAAAAGATGCTGAAGAGGCTTTCAAGGTTCCTCTGTCTTTCCTCATTCCTTCCCTTGCTGGCTTTTGTGGTGGTTTAGTGTCATATCTTGCACAGTTTCATTAGGAAACTAGCCAAAGAGATAGTGGGACCATTGGAAAACGAGCAAAAAAGGAAGGTAGGAGAAATGCGAGGAACATATTTGTGTGTGTTCACTTCAGAAGATGTTGAAGGGGTACACACACCTCAACTATTGTTATTTTCCTGGAAGTCTCTGACGACCCGTCTCTGTGCTATGTCAAGATCATGTCTGACCACATCCTGGAAAACCTTTGAAATGTGTGCCGAGCCCAGGAGTTGGTGACGAAGAGTTGCGTTTGTTATTTGAAGCATTCCTAAAACTTATTCACCACCACGGTTGGCTGAAAATAGTACCTTGTGGTCGCTTCACCATGTTAAAAGGAAAAGCAATGTCAATCAGCTGTGAATTTGCTCCATGAACTTCTTTAGATGCAGTTTTAACTTATATTCTAGGCGATGTCTTTTCTCTGTAGGAGATGTTCTCTGAATGGGGATAAGAACAGAAACAATGTCTTGCTGAAGGCACCAGCTGCTTGTTTTCACCACCAGAATAAAACACCAGGTTGTCTTCAACCAGAAACCAGGCAGGGGTAGTGGGAGCCTGGAATCAGCCAGAAGTCAGCTCTAGCAATTCTTTGGCTGGCTGCTGAAAGATATGCATTGTGAGGGTCATGGTACGCAGGAAGCAGGGGATCTGTGAACAGATCTCCCAAAGCCATTTACCGGTAATTTTTCTAAAAGCAACTGAATCAGGGACAGAAAATTGGGTGGGGGTGGGTGGGCTGACCCTCTCACCTTGCATGAATTATCTCACATAAATTGACACCCCCTGGCATTCCTTGAAACTGTTGCTAGAATATTTTCTGGGGACGGTCATAGATTTACAGAAGCCACCCTGGTTTCTGATTTGATCCCAGAATGTCCCTTAAGACGTCCCTATTTTCTTCGGAGAAATGTTGGAGGATATGCTATTAGAAACTTCAGGAAGATGGTTTATTTATATCAGAGGTGCGGGGTGGGGGAAGAGGTCAAAAATGCATCTTCCCAGCTCCATATTCACAATCCAAATCAACACCTTGGAAGAGCTGATCACAGATCTCACTCACTGTCTGTAATTTGGCCCTTAGTGGCCTTGACAGGCAGAGTCAGGGATTTGTTCTCAGACTAATTAATTGACTGAGGTGGGAAGTGAGTGGTAGGCCCAAAGCTAGCCCTTACTACCTGTAACGGCCTCTGGATAGCTTTGCATCTGTTTCTGACAGCCAAGACAAGCATCAATGGGGAAAACGGATTTCTGCTATCCTAACCCATAAGCCTTTTTTGAAGGGTTTAATAATATCATCTGATCTGATCTGATTTGGCCTGTTTTGCCTAAGAGGCTTCCTTTCCAGACAGCATAATTTCCTACAGTTTACTCTTTGGTGTTATCCCTTCAGTCCCAGATTCAAGATCTGCTCTTCAGGGTCTCCCAACAAGGTAATCTCTCAGGAGACCCCAAGATGAATTGCTGCATAGTTCTCATATATATATTTTGAAGAGGTTTTGGGTTTTATTTTAATTTTATTCCTTCCTTCCTTCCTTCCTTAGGAGCCCAAGATGGCAAACTCAACAATAGCAATGCATAAAAGAAAACCAAACATCATTTAAAAATTTTTTTGTACGAACGGTTATCTCATGGTCACTGCAAACAGTGTCATTCAGCCATCAAACTGAGTAAACAGAAATATTTTTAATTTTCTCCTTAAAGTCAATAATGAAGGAGGCAGACACACCTCCCGAGGGAGGACATTCCACAAATGGGGGGCTGTGGCTGAAAAGGCCCCGTTATATGTCAGTAGCAACCCAGGCAGTCCCACCAACAAAACATTGTCCCAATTGTTAAACATCGAAGCTCCCACAAGATGGCAGCTGGCCACTTTGGAACCCTGGCTTGTTTGTATTTTTTGGTCAGCCCTGAGCCCAGGTCTTCAGCCTCTCAAGGCTACTAAATTGGTCATGTAGCTAGAGAAGGACAGACTCAGTAACTGTACTGGTTTAACTGGTCCCCTTATATACGTTCCCCAGAGGAGTGAGGAACATTTTGAAATTACCAAGAAACCACGTCTCTCATTTCAAACTGTAGAGCATGTCTGGGCAGGTCCTTAGGAGCCGCATAACACACGGAGTTAACTGTGCCTATAATTTGCAACTGACCCAAGTAAATTGATACCATCGGATGGTAAGCAGATAAACTCCGAGAACTATTACTTTATTGTAACCCTGTTTCCGTCGCATATTGACACAGAAATTCACATTAACGTGGATAATAAGCAAGAGACGATTTTTCTGTTATCGACAGCATCCATTATCCCAATAAACGACACCAGGGCCCTCTTGCATTTCCTCTTTATATCCACAACATTTTTACACATGCCTTGCGCATTGCCGTGACATTTCCCTTTTTAAAAGGCCTCTTGTGTTTATTTCCAGTGAGTGTTGTGTGACAAAGGAATTCCTCAGTTTTGGCTCTTATCTTCTGTTCTTCCAGCTGCCCAAGCGAATGCCTGCCATAGCAGATGCCCTGGCTTCCTTGCTAGCACATGTCCCAATTCTTTCCGTCTTTATTTATAGCTGACTTTGAAGAACTCTCTGAATCTTGGCATATGTTGAAATTCGTTAAGAGATCTGGAGTGCAGCGTGTCGCAGGAACATAGGAAGTTGCCTTATGGTGAATCAAACCATTGGTTCATCTAGCATCAGGCGAGGTGACATGGGGTTCAAAACTGGAGATGCTGGGGTTCAAACCTGGGACTTTCTGCATGCAAAGCAGATACTCTGCCACTGAGCTATGGCCGAGCTCTATTTCTCTGTTGCACCTGAATCAGGTGTAGCCAGGCAAATGCTGGTCCAGGACCTGGATGTCGTGATGGGGCTAGATGACCAGTAAGGTGAAGTTGAATCCCAACAAGGCTGAGGCCCTCTGGGTAGGGGATTTCCAGGTCTGGCAAGTAAGCGGTTGTTCCTGTTCTACACAGGATTGCCTTTCCCCTAAAGGAGCAGGGCATAGTCTTGAGGCTGCTCACTGGAACCATCCTTTACTGCAACTCCTTGCTCTGCCCCACCCGCAAACACCACAGACGCTGGCATCACCATATCTGCTCCAGAAATTTAGGAATTCTCTCTGGATGGTCTGAAAGGTGATGCCGGGGAAAGGAAAATCAGCAAAAAATCAGTTCCCCTCCCTTATACTGGATTGAAGGCCCTTCAGCGAATAGAAGGGTAGCTTGAGGATCAGTCAGGAGTGCATACAGGAGCTGGGCCCTGTGACCAGTAGGGCTTCGCAGGACTGGGGCCTTCCTAAGTTTGTTCTGGAGAGGCAAGGCGCGGCCGCACAGGTGAGGCCGCTTGGTAACTCACTGCACCAGGTGGCTAGAGCCGGAAGGGATATAAGGTCAGCATTTCCCTTTGGCTCTTTGTCACAGCAACACGTTTCCTGCCTCACTGCGTTTGGCTTCCTGCTTCCTGATCCTCAGACCTCGGCTTCTTGACTCCTTGCTTCTCGACCCTCGGACCCTTGACTTTGTGACTCCTTGCTTCTTGACCCTCAGACCCCTGGTTTATGGACTTTCATTCCTGCTCCCACCCGGGACTTCGATAGCCCATAGACCGGACCATGACAGGATCCAAGCCAGGGTCTGTGGTGTTTGCCAAATGGGGAAGGGCCAGCCCTACTATTAGGTACAGTGAGAGGACTCGTTTTGGTGGCAAGCGAAGGCCAGCAGTGGCATCCCACTGACTGTTCCTCCTGAGCAACCTCAAACATTTCCCTCTGCTTGAAGGAAGGAAATAGGTCTGCCACATGTTCTGTCCTGGTCCCCCTAAACTAGCTTGCTGCTTTAGGCGCTGAAGTAAAATTCAGCTGCCAGGCCAATCAGCTTCTGTCCATGGAGTGGAGAGGAGGGCATCTTGTCCTTTGCCTCAGGCAGCAATATGTCTGGGGCTGGCCTAGTGAGCAGTTTGGGGATTTGGAGACCTAGAGAGCTGTGAATGTGTGAGAAGGCTGAAGGTGAAATATGTTCTCTCTTTCTGAAACTCTGAGGTGTGGGGTTTGAGCAGAACTGATCCCTTGCAGGAGTTACTGTTTGCCACCACTTATGCTCTGTTTGTGTATTTTATAAATGAAATATTACAAAGACACCACAACTCTCCGGTTCCATGCAACGGAATCTAAACCTGATAATTCTGCCCTTGGAATTACTCTCTGCTCTGGGAAGCGGGGAGCACATAACAATATTTGAGGGCATTGGCTTACATGCTACTGTGAAGGACAGCTTATTTCCTGCTTGCATTGAGTTGCCTTCTAAGACGATACACAAGCTGGGATTGATTTCATTCTGTGCAACTTTTATTAGTTACAGCTTTTCCCTTCCCCATGCTGTACATTTGCATTCTGGCTCAGACGCCTCTTAGAGCTGGTTCACTCATGTCCTGGCGAGGGATGGAAGGGTCTGTCCATTTTAGTGCTCTCGGTTTTACATTTTTCCCATCTTAAATTCAGTTCTCTGCATTTCTGCAGCATTTTTTTTTTTACTAAGGTATACATTTTTTTTGCAAGCAGTTTTCCCCAATATAATGCATTTTAACGTTACTTTCACGTATATGCACCCTCTGCCTTAATATATGCTGTTTTATAAACCTTGGTTGTTTGGTGAACTGTACTGCAAAAGGGACGCGGGTGGCGCTGTGGGTAACACCTCAGCGCCTAGGACTTGCCGATCGCATGGTTGGCGGTTTGAATCCCCGCGGTGGGGTGAGCTCCCATCGTTCGGTCCCAGCTCCTGCCCACCTAGCAGTTCGAAAGCACCCTTAAGTGCAAGTAGATAAATAGGTACCGCTTTCTAGCGGGAAGGTAAACGGCGTTTCCGTGTGCTGCGCTGGTGCTGGCTCGCCAGAGCAGCTTCGTCACGCTGGCCACGTGACCCGGAAGTGTCTCCGGACAGCGCTGGCTCCCGGCCTCTTAAGTGAGATGGGCGCACAACCCTAGAGTCGGACACGACTGGCCCGTACGGGCAGGGGTACCTTTACCTTTACCTTTACTGCAAAATTTGGATATATTTGGAAGAAGAGCTGCATTTCAGTTCACATATTGTTTTGTAGGTTTGCCATATTTCAAAAAGTGAAAATCCGGACACAAAAGTTGTTGGGCTTTTATTGGCAAAGTTGTTGAGCGTTTTTGGTGAAATAAAAAAGGGGGGGGGTTCAGCTACTTTTAATTGAATTTGTCAAATTCTCTATACGTACTACTGACATGGGCTGCCATATGTCTGGATTTTCATGGACATTTCAGCAATTTCCACCCGCACATTGTTTATGAGAGCTAAATACTGGCTATGTTATGTGTGGCAACCCTTTTTGGGAAGTGGAAATTTGATAGATTCCTGCTGAGTGACTGACTTTTGTGGTGGATCCTTGCATTGCCAGATTCCTTTATTATTTCATTTTTAAATTGTTTTTATTTACACCATTCTTCTGCAAAATAAAGGTTCCCAGAATGGCTTACAAATGTAAATAGTAAAACATATTGTGGACCCATCCGCAGTGACCCCTGCACCCGGAAGCAAGGCCTGAGCCAAGAAGGGGAACAAACCCTGCCCAACTGACATGGCCAGATTGGCTAGTATTCAAATAAACCGATAGCACAGGGGTCTGCAACCTTTAAGACAAAAAGAGCCACTTGGACCCGTTTCCGAAGAAAAAAACAACTGGGAGCCGCAAAACTTGTCATTATAAAAATAACTTTTTTGTCACTTTTTTATTATTTCTTTGTTTCACCCCTCAGAATTACTCCTCCTCATAGAAATAAACGTTAAATTAACAAGTTACCTTTTTGTGTGTGTGTGTTCTTCACTCCCCTTCAAAACAGTGACCAGCGTACATGACCCCTTTCAATGCAGTGACCAGCGTACATGCCCCTTACAATGTAGCGGGTGGGTGGGCGGGAAGGTGACGTCGGGACGGTGCGTGACTAACGCACGCACCGCCCCCATGCGACGTCACAGCCAGTACAGCACCCGCCACAGTGGGGAGTGTCAGGGTGCACAATGCACCTTCTCCCCTCGCTAGTATCCGCCCCGGAGCCGCAGCAAAGGTGTAAAAGAGCCACATGCGGCTCCGGAGCCGCGGGTTGCAGACCCCTGCGATAGCAGGAAAGCCTGCCAATCTCCCACAGCTGGTCTGGGAATTCCCCACGGATGGCTGCCTAGCCCTGACCTTGCTTCCAAGGGCAAGGGCCTGGTGCGACAGGCTGCAATACCTGCCCGCCCTGTGACCGGGTAAGCAGCCATTCTAAG